GGTGGAGATTGTAGTGAGCCAAGATTGTGCCACTGCACTCCAGCCTGGGTGACAGAGCAAGACTCAAGACTCCATCTCAAAAAAAAAAAAAAAAAAAAAGTCTGTTACCATTAGGCAAAAAGATGATCATACAAATATTACATTAGCCAAACTCGAGGCTCAAAAAAATATAATAAATTATAAAATGGTTCACAAAAACAAAAATATAACACTGCCCAAATGCATTGTACAATCTGAACTGTATAAAGACACCATTAATTTAGTACATATTTATCAAAAACCTACTTCTATACAGTTTGGCAAATCACAGCAGATAAGATGGAATTTAGCCAGTTTTTGTCTTTAAGGTACTCAGAATACAGATAACTATTTAATTTTTGTGTTTTTTTACCAGAATTTTTAAGAAAAAGTATTTTAATTCATTCATACAATTTTTTCTAATTCTTTAAAAAAATAATGAATAGTAGTTCTTTTGTGACTAAGCATTTTTCCCTAATGTTACAAAAAATCCATTTAAAAATACAGTTAGAGACTGTGAATACCATTGTCATTTATTTACTACCTTATGTAGTGCTTACTGTGTGCCCAATGTCATCTGGGGAGTTTATTGTTACACTTATTATGTATGTATTATGTTCAGTATGTGCCAGGCACTTTTAGATTTGTGGTGATGAATGCAAGCTTCTAAAATCTGGGTCGAATTTAGGGTAAGCATGCAGAGTGAGTGGAACTTCACCAATAAGGAGGCAGAGGGATGATGCTTGGCAGAAGGAATATCTAACAAGTTGCATGTTTGACAGAAGAAGCAGTCAAGAAGAATTGAAAAGTTTTTAAAAGGAGGAGCAATTTTAAAACGTAGGATACCTGCGTGAACTTCGTAGAGTTTAGGAGCAGTTCAAATTTACTAGTGCAAAAAAATTATATGGGAGTGGTTGTAATGAGGTGTAAATAGCTTATAGTTATTATTTATTATGTATTTATTATGTGCAGCATGTGCCGGTGAAGGCAAGCTTAGCAAAGATTTTGTTGTTGTTGTTTTACCTGTGTCTAGAAACAAGTTCAATAAAAGTACTTTTTAATAGTATAGAAATGAGTAGATCTTATCCTGAGTAGGCTAGGGAAACTTCCTCGGGTAGAATGCTTTTGGCTGCAAATACTAGAAGACCTAGCTAACAGTGGCCAAAACCATAAGAACCAGACTGGGCTTGGTTGTCCAGTGATATAATTGGGATCCCACTTGTCTTCTCAGCTATGATGTTAAGGTATCTTGCCCATTTTCATGGTTGGCTACTTAGCAACAGTCGCAAACATGATGTTCTCACAAGATAGTATCTAAAGCTGGAAGGGCTGCTTTTCTTCACATGTGTCTATTAAATTGGGAGAAAACTCAGAAGTATGCAGGGGACTTTTTGTAATTTTTTTTTTTTCTTTTTTTTTTTTTTTTTTTTGAGACAGAGTCTTGCTCTCTCATCAGGCTGGAGTGCAGTGACATGATCTTGGCTCACTGCATCCTTCACCTCCCAGGTTCAAGTGATTCTCCTGCTCAACCTTTCCAAGCAGCTGGGACCTGCTATATGGCGCCTGCCAAATTTCACACCCAGCTAATTTTTGTATTCTTCTCTTTTTTTTTTTTTTTTTTTTGAGACGGAGTCTCGCTCTGCTCGCCAGGCTGGAGTGCAGTGGCCGGATCTCAGCCTTCACTGCAGCTCCGCCTCCGGGTTCCTGGCGATTCTCCTGCCTCAGTCTCCCGAGTAGCTGGGACTACAGGCGCCCGCCACCTCGCCCAAGTAGTTTTTGTATTTTTTTTTAGTAGAGACAGGGTTTCACCATGTTAACCAGGATGGTCTTGATCTCTTGAAATCATGATCTGCCCACCTTGGCCTCCCAAAGTGCTGGGATTACAGGCATGAGCCACCATGCCTGGCCCTTTTTGTAATATTTTATTGGTTGGTCACACCTACACATGCGCATTCCTAAACCAGGCACTGGGAAGCAAATGTGATTAGCTTAGGAATAATCATTTCTCTTTGAAGCTGGGGAGGGGTATTGGGACAATAAATATCCAAATAGATTTGTGTTTCTCCAGCAAGCAATAATAAGGGAACTGCTCCTGGATGGGGACATTTGTGCAGTGTTTGGTCTAGAAATTCACTGGAAAATCATGAGTAGGGAGGCATTGGATTAGATTTGAGATTTAGGGCACTCTGTTCAGGGTATAAAGCAGGGATTGGCAGGCTTTTTCTCTGTAAAAGGGCCAAGTAGGAAATATTTTAGCCCATGTGGTCGGTCTCTCTCCACTTCTTTCAGAACATCACAAATGAAGGCCATGTGGTTCTGGTTAGAAGTACTCAACCCTGCCATTGTAGTGTGAAAGCAGTCATAGGTAGCATAACAGTGAGCAGCTCCACTGTACTCTCCTAAAACTTTATTAAGATAAAACATATGGTAGGTGATTTGGGGTCAGGTCTGTAAGGACTTCTATGGTATAGTATCAATGGAGGATAGATGTCACCTGGGAGCATATAGGTATTACTGACTAGGTATTTATTATGTTCATGAGATGACATCCACCTTTAAATGTGTGGTGATGAGCACAAGCTTCTGAAAAATGGACAGGATTTAGGGAAGCATGCAGAGGAGTGAAACTTTGCCAGGCAAGGAGGCAGAGGGATGATGTTTTGCAGAAGGAATATCTAATGCTTGGTATGTTTCATAGAAACAACAGCCAGTGAAGCCTGCAAATTTGTAAAAAGAAGAAGGTGCAAAGGTAAACACACTTAATGGGCACGGCTCATGCCTGTAATCCCAGCACTTTGGGAGGCTGAGGTGGGCAGATTCATAGGTCACAGATGAGACCATCCTGGCTAACATGGTGAAACCCCGTCTCTACTAAAAATACAAAAAAATTAGCCGGGCGCGGTGGCAACCTGCAGTCCCAGCCACCCACCAACCTGTTAAGAACCCTGGGAGACAAGGAGGCTTCAGCCGCATAATGCCATAGTTTCCTTTGTCACAAATCCACGGAGTATACAAGCCTTATTACAAGGTTTTCACCCATCCATGATAAAATAAAATGATGGAGCTCCACTTTATTCATTTGAAAATATTGGTGTTGCTGGGGATGGTGGCTCTGCCTGTAATCCTAACAGTGTTGAGACTGAGATAGAAAGATCCCTTGAGGCCAGAAGGTCCAGCAGCCTGGGCAACATAGCGAGACCCCATGTCTGTTTTTTTTTAATGTAGCTGGGTGTGGTGTTCTGCACCTGTAATCCCAGCTACTTGGGAGGCTGAAGCAGGAGAACTGCTTGAGCCTAGAAGTTTGAGGCTGCAGTTAGCTATGATAGCGACATTACACTGGAGCCTGGGTGGCAGAGGAGACCTCATCTCTGATAAAAATCAAGTCAAATAAGATAAGATAAAATAAAATGTAGGTCTTTTTCTTGGAATTATGCTTTTTAAATTTGTTTTGCTTTTTTAAAAATTTAAGAAATGACAATAATAATAGTTGGTATATATAAGGCTTTCAGAACTGGCTTCTGCCTAAATCTCCATCTGCAGCCCCCTTCTCTCTGCTCCTTTTTTCTGCATTACTGAGCTGCTGGTAATGCCCCCCTGTCACCATCCTCATGTAGACAATACACTGGAGGCTTTCTTCCTCTCTTGCCACTGCCTGGCATGCGCCACTTCCTGCTCCTGCCTGCTTTAATCTGGTGAACCTCACTGTCTAAGTCTCCGCTCAGGCACGATCTCTAGAAAGGCCATCCCCGATGACTTTTATTCCCATTCTTTAAACCCCAGTGCTTACCACTTAGCAAGAACTCCATAAACATTTAGTAAAATAAAGACTGTTTATAAGAAGAAGATTCCTTCAGTCTAGCAGCAAGGGGGATAGACATGGAAAGACATGATGCACAGTTCAGATGGCGGAGGACACTAGGAAAACGACAAAGTACTAAGAGGTCCTCAAGGAAGGAGACACCTGTATATGTGCAGAAAGATAGCCGGATTCAAGGAGTGACTCTACATAGCACTCTGAGCCTTTTTTCTTTTTCATGTCGTTATTACTCTGTCACCCAGGGTGGAGTGCAATGGCATGATTGAGACTCACTGCAACCCCAAACTCCATCTGTTGGATCCTCTCGCCTCAGCTTTCTAAGTAGCTGGGATCTTTACAGGCACACACCACCATGCCGCCAGAGTTTCTGTAGAGTCTGGGTTTCAGGTCTCCAGGCTGCGATCTATAGGTACACACTGCCATGCCCAAGGAGTTTCTGTGAGTCCGGTTTCTCTGTGGTCTCCAGGCTGCGGGGACTACAGGCACACCTCACGCATGCCTGGGTGTGTTGCTGTAGAGTCAGGTTTTCCGTGGTCTCCAGACTGCTCTAAACGCCTGGCTTCGAGCAGGTCTCTCTCCTAGGCCTTCCATAGTGCTGGGTTTATAGGTGTGGAGCTACTGTGCCCAGCCTACATTCACAGAGTCTTAAAACATGAAATAAATTTGTCTGAATAGTAGAGGAAAACATTTCAGATGTAAAAACTAGGATATACACTAATAAGGTTTAGAGACTTGCAATAAAATTTCTTGCAAATTATTAGTAAATAACTCACTTAGCATATTGTTGAAAAGATACTATTATGAAGTAGAGAATAAAGTATTACTTTATAGTGTTTCTTACTTGTATTTTTAAATTTTGCTTTGTTTCCATAGTCTTGTTTTATTTATGTTGGGTGGAATAATTCCAGGTGACTCCTGAGACTTTTGCATGGCTTGAACCTGCTTATATCTATGTCTCCCATGGTTTGCTGAAGTTTTAGATAATTAGAGTTTACTCTAAAAAATGTAAATATTCCAGTAAACATTGCTTCATTTAAATCTAATATAACAAAGTATGCGTTGTTTTATATCCATTTTATAAAGATTATAGTTCTAACTGTTCTAAGTCATTCATCTTAATATATTGTTTGTCAGCAGAATACTTCCACTAAAGTGGCTTCAGAGGAAACCAAGAAATGCTTGAAAGAAGTGAAAGTAAACAGCCACAGGTATGTATGTAGCAATTTAAATTCCTGGTTTGCTATTGCTGTTAGTTGGTTTCTTAACATAGCATAGTCCAAATGAAGTGACCTTGGAAACTATCCTTTAGAATCCAACAGATCGTAATTTCATATTTAATTTTAAAACATTTTAGCCAGTTATAAAATTTAAAATATTCTTACAGTCTGTAGTAACTCATAGCTATCTGTACCCTTGGACTTGAGGCCAGAAATTTCCAGAAGTCTCTTTGCTCTTTTATTTTTATAACCTTCCCTGTACGTATAAAGAAAGTAACATCAAAATGGAGTTATCACTAAGCTAGAGAAATTATGAACAATTGGACAGTGATGGCCACTGAGTTCAACTCCTGCTAAAGGAGTGCACTATTCCCAGTGGTTCAAACTTGTAGTTTTATGTTGCCAAGTCACCAGTGCTGGAGGTTAAAACTTTCTGAAGTTTTTTTTGGTCTCTGCTGCCTTCAGTGTCTTATGTTCAGGGAGAGGATGGGGTCAAGTAAGCAATCAACTCAACTGGGCTGTTAAGTTAAGAGAATTCATGACTTCAGAATGGGACTTTGGTGTCAGGGTACAAATAATAACTTTCTTTAGTTTTAACATAAATAGTAAATAAAGAATAGAAATTCTTTATTCCACTTGTCACTAGTGGAATCCTAGAATACATTAGAACTGAATATAAGTAGCACCCATCCAGATAACACACATTATAGTATAGCATTTGGCAGAATCTAAAATTTTCTTCTCTTCTGATTGGTGTTCATTTTGGTTTCTAATACTCAAAGATCGCCTACTTCCTCCAGTTAATCTTCGAAATATGATTCTATCAGGGGTTCAATATTATGTATGCTAAGGTCAAAATCCTTTTGCTATGAAAGCTTTAGAATACTATATCATCTGTGGAACCATTTAAGATTTGTAATGAATTAAGTTGTTCAAACAGGAGAGTTGTTTATTGGTTCATGTTTTTCCTATGTTAAGCCAAGGCAAATTATTTTTTTACTTTAGTTATAATCCAGTAACTTAGGGGTAGTAAAACATAGATTAAGTTTTACAGTTAAATTTAATTATTTTCTATTTTTTGTTCATACTTAATTCAGAATAAAGTTAGTTTTAAAACATGCACCCTAACAGAAAAGACATCCGAGAAACAAAATGCTAAATTAATTCTTCACTTTTGAAATTGCAAAAAAGTCTCTAAGAACCAGAACTGAGTAAGAATTGTGATAAAGAGGGTATTATCTGTATATTCAAGACTTCTTTTAAAATTCATTACAAGAAGTTCAATCAGATTGGTGGAAAGTTTTGAAAATCCAAAATTACTGTGTGTCCTGAGGAAGAGCTTCACATAGTAACTTGGAGAGGGACAAAGTTAAAGGGAGTGCTCTAATGAATCATATCCTTGACTGCAAGTGAAGTAGATGTATCTTGGAGGTTTAACTCTGTAGTATCCTGTGGCTAATGTTTAAAACAGAAGGAGTTTATCACAAATATGTCTTTTCATTGCATTTCACCTGGGTCCCCAAAACACACCTGTCAGTCATCTTCTAAGCTTTACACAAATGAAAACAACTGACTGTAAAAATTATAATAACCAGACATGTAACCGTTTCTCAGAGATGAAGAGAACTGTTGCAAGGATAATAGAAATTGAAAATTAAGGAACCCAGTAGTTATGGTTGAAAATGAAAGAAGATCAAGAGTTTGATATGCAAATGACAAAAAATACAAACCAAAATATCACACTAATTGGAAATTAATGTCTCAGTCTAGAGATCCAAAGTCTTTTTGATTTGTGGTTTTCTACTCCAAAGAAATGAGGCATGTGACAGAGATAGAGAAAGTTTATATTTTGCTGTTACAGACACTTACAAAAGCAAAAATCCAATAAAGCTTGCTCCACAAGCCATATGGAATCAGTTTTCAAAGCTTAGAAGATGACTGGCAAGTATGTTTCAGGGAGCCACATATGACAGTCCTATCATAATATTATAAAAGCATGAAACCTTGGGAATGAGAAAATGTGAGCTATTATCCAACCAGAGGGACAGAACATCAAAAGGATATCTAGAAGACTTACAGCAAGAGCACACAAAAGGCTTAAGAATGAGGTGGGCATGTTACAAGCAGTGAGTTCCTGGCTTTGAAGAAAGAAGTTCAACTATAAAAAGAAAGAGGTTCACTGCTACTTCTCTTTTTATAAATTATCTGATTCATTCTGGTTTTCTACTCAAGAAAATCTCATGTGTATAGTTACAGTGGGGTTATCTAAATATGTACTCATGTGTCAAAGTAGATTAGTGCTATATTTAAATGACAGTTCTGGAAAACATTCTCATAATATTTGTTCATTAGTCAACCTAAGCCCCACTATCAGTCTTCCAAGTAGCACATGGCTCTGGGAAAATAATTTAGCCATATACCATGTAATTTAACCGCCAAATATCACAAAATTACAAAAGAAATAAGCTCTAGATTCTCTTCTTTTTTTTTTTTTTTTTTTTTTTTTTTTTTGAGACGGAGTCTCGCTCTGTCGCCCAGGCTGGAGTGCAGTGGCGCGATCTCGGCTCACTGCAAGCTCCGCCCCGGCCGATGCCATTCCTCCCCTGCCTCAGCCTCCCGAGTAGCTGGAATTAGAGACAACACCTCCGCCCGGCTAATTTTTTGTATTTAGTAGAGACGGGGTTTCATCATGTTAGCCAGGATGGTCTCTATCTCCTGACCTTGTGATCCACCTGCCTCAGCCTCCCAAAGTGCTGGGATTACAGGCGTGAGCCACTGCGCCTGGCTCAGATTCTTCTTACTGTATTCATTTGAAGATGAATTACATTTATTTAAATGATAAAATGGTAACACAATGGGAGGGAAACAATGACTGAGAAGAGACTTGAAAATGTATCCAGGCTTGAGATATAACAAATATTATCAGCCAAAGATGTCTGTTTAATGTACTTTCATGCATGGAAGTTTATTTGTTTGACTCAAACTGTTTAAACTTATAACTCCGTCATGGTCATTTTTTAAACATTTTGGAAACAAATACATATACTTTTGCATATTTAAAAATCACCACTCTCCAATGTTTCCTGTTGAATCAACTTTTTTAAATTTTTTTTTTTGAGGCGGAGTCTCGCTCTGTCAGCCCAGGCTGGAGTGCAGTGGTACAATCTCGGCTCACTGCAAGCTCCGCCTCCCAGGTCTGGCGCCATCTCCTCCTCTGTCTCAGCCCTGGCAGCCGTAATCACAAAACCAACCAACCTCAGTTTATCGTATTTTTAGTAGAGACGGGGTTTCACTAGTAGCTAGGATGGTTCGATTCTGACTTTGTGGGATTCATCCCGCTTAGCCCTAATGAATTTGGGCACTTTTATATTATGTTGTTTAATAAAATATGTAAGTTTTTGATGTGTGGTAATTTTATCATATAAGTAGCAGCATAACTCTTAGCCAAAAATTTATCATTTGACTCTATAGTAGAAAGCTGAGTTCTGTACATTGTATTCTAAAGACAAAAATCTAGAGATTTTCTTCTTTCAAAGTGAAAGCAGATGAGGCTCTCCGCTTATCCTCTGAGGCATTAAAATTGCTTTGCCAAAGTCACACTTTAATTTATCTGACTAATTTGATATATTTATCTGGTAATTTATGTAATTCAGCAGTATTTATTTATCTTCCTTTGTGCCATGAAATGCTAGGTAATGCCACCGTAGGAGCTTTGGGTGAATTATTTAATATTTCTTGGTTTTACTTCCATTATCAAGTAGATAATGGGGCTAGAGTATACAACTATACTGTAAATCTTCCAGCTATAAACTTTTGTGGTAACTGAATGTAAACTTGGGGAACATCTCATTTTCAGGATCTCAGTAGTAACCAGTAGTTTCACTCTGCTCTCTTTGTGTTGTAAATTTTGTCCCTTCTGTTTCAGTGAGCACTTTCTACTTAGTATATCCCAGATCCAAAATGAAAAATAAGGATAAAAGGCAGTGGTGAAAATAGCTTAGTGCAGAAAAGGGAAAGCCTTCTTCTGCTTCTGAAGCCCCACAAGGTCACATCCTCTTGATCTGGCTATTTCATGGAGAATCCAGGTGATTGAAAGACAGAAGACACATTTTATGCCTGTCTTTGTTTTCTGTTTTTGGTGTTGATATATTTACACCACAGAAGTAACTGTGATCTGGTGGAGAACTAGCAGAGTCAGCCCTGGGAAAATCCTCTGCAGTTTGCTTATATTTTTAACCTCTTCTTTTTAAGAATTGTGATAACTAAATAAGTTCTTATCAATGTATGTTTGTAGAAGTGCTTAGTACAATGTCTAGATTTATGATTTAGTAAAATGAAATTTTATAACCACCAAAAAAATTTTGAGCCAAATCACAATACACACATCTAGGGAAACAGTACTTTTTTTTTTTTTTTTTTTTTTTTTTTTTTGAGACAGAGTCTTGCTCTGTCGCCCGGGCTGGGAGGACAGGCGCGATCCCAGCTCACTGCAAGCTCTGGCCTGCTGGGTTTACACCATTCTCCTGCCTCAGCCTTCCAAGTAGCTGGGACTACAGGTTTCGCCACCTCGCCCAGCCAGTTTTTTGTATTTTTTTAGTAGAGACGGGGTTTCACCGTGTTAGCCAGGATGATCTCGATCTCCTGACCGCGTGATCCGCCCATCTCGGCCTCCCAAAGTGCTGGGATTACAGGCTTGAGCCACATCGCGCCCGGCCAGAAACAGAACTTTTAAAACTTTTGAGAAATTTTATCTGTCCAAATACATGATGCAAGTTTACTATAGGGTGGTGTCTGGGTTAGGTATCAGAATATAAATGCAATTTCCTTTTTCCAATATTTTAATTTAGTCAAATTACTTAATATTTTACTTTATGCTTTGAGTTTGTTCAGAGAAAGGCTTTTCCACCTGATATTCTTAAAATTCCCCAGTGTGTATGCATGTGTTTTTAGTTTTATGGATTCATTGACTTCAAATAAATTTTTTTAAACTTTGAATTTATGCTCTGTATGTCAAGGTTTTGTTTCAATCTTTTCTCCAGTTGATATCCACTACAGCAACTTTTAATTGCATGAATGTACAGGTTGTTTCACTTCAGAGATAAACTGTGATGTTATTTTATTGAGTGCTAGCTGAAAATTTCTTTGGTTTTATTTAGGATTTTCAAAGTTATGGAAAAAAGAAGGATGTGATATATACAAATTGCATGTTGAAGGGAGATATTGCCACACTCAGATGGGAATTATATGTAATAAAAAATGACAGTCTCAAAAAGGAAAAGGAATATATTCAGGAAATTAAAAGTATTAGAGAAATAAATGCTAACTTTGAAAAGAGTGCAAGACTCAATGAGAAAATAACAAAAAAAATGTCCCAGTGTTGTCAACAGCTTAATGACTCAAAGCGAATACAAGGCTGAATTCAAAATTGGAGAAGGAAAACACCGCACAGACAGGCTGGAAGCTGAAGCTGAATTCTCCATTCTAGACTGGCTGCTGCTATGGATGAGCACAATGAAAGTGTAGAAACAAAAAGCCTAGAATTCATGTATAGAGAGCATATAATTTTCTGTACATAAAAATGAGTTCTACTATTTCTCAACTAAAAGTTAAAATGACAAGCTTACTGACAATTTTCTAAATCTGGGATGAAGTTAAATACCTTAAAAGGCATCTACTTACACAAGAGATGCTCTCAGGAAAAGACATTGGCTTTAGAAAGTGTGCAGATGTACTAGAGGTAAGTAATAGACGAATAAAGGGAAATGGAGCAGGTATCCAAATGAGGTTGGGAACCAGTCAATCCACTGAAAGTACAATCTGCGTAGAGTGAGAGACTGTGTCAACTAGAATGTGGTGGCACCCTCTTGCTTAAATGACAACTAGAGGGTGCTCATAAGGGAAGGCAATGATAAAGAGATAGTAATTAATATCCAGGGAGGCTGTCTTGAGAGTGGAAAGAAAGATCTTCTAGAAGAGAAAAATAAGAAATTAATGAATGAATATAATTCTGTAAAAGAAAAATGTTTCAGTACAAAAGAAGAAGCAGAGGAGAAGTAAGTATGAAGAAAGATAAATATTTTTAACCTTCCAGAAGGAAAATTTAAACATTTAATTGTGGCTATATGTTGAATCTAATTCAATATAAAAATAAATAGAGGAAAGTGTATTTATCATACTGTATAATTCTGTTTCATGAAACATCCAGAAAAGACATATATAGGGACAGAAAGAAGATGAATGTTTGTGTAGGGCTGGGGCTGGAAATGGGTCGTGATCGCTGGGATGGGCATGAGGGATTGTCCTGGAGTGGATGAAAAAAATGTTCTAAAGCTGGATTGTAGGATGGTTGCATGACTAGTAAATTTACTAAAAATCTTTGAACTGTATGTTAAAACAGATAAATATGTAGTATGGAAATCATATTTTAACAAAGCTGTTTTAATAAAAAACTAAAAAAATATGTTTACTGTATCAGCTTGGAAACATACCTTGTTTCAGGAAATAAAAGTGTAGAGCTGACAGATGCTTTCTTGAGTAAAGACATTATTACCTATGAAATTGTAGTAGCTACAGAGTAATGTTCATAAGCTATGTAGTCTTATACTGCTGAGATAACAAATTTAATGTCTTTATGTTGCCACATTTTAAGAATTAAGAATGAAGCAGATAAACGGAAATTCTTGTACCTGAAATAAGTATTTTGAAATTAAGATTCAATTAAGTGAGCCACTTTGACACTTAATTCTAGATTTCAAGATGAACTGAAGTATGTTGCTGTGTCTTGTGGTGCTTTTCCTTCAGTGGCTCTTTTGTATTTTATTAGTATAACTTTATTTTGACTCATATTAATGTGACTTAAGTCTGAAAATATGTCAGCCTCTACATTATGTATTTCTGACCACTTAATATTTGGAAAGACATCTACTTGTTATACAATTTGGAATAAATGTGGTAAATTTTAGCAAAAAATATTTGATTTAATGTTCCCACTGGTAGGTATTTCTATAATTTGATTGAATATTTTTATTGTTAATAATTAGCTCATAATTTACATTTTAAGTCTCAATGACTATCATTTGGATATATAATCTTTGTCCAGTACAAAGATACTTGTAGCGGCCTGTGATTTGTGAGTTTGACATTGAATCCCCATTTTGTGAGTAATGAGGGGTGGCAAGAGTTCACGTGAGGAGTGGGAATGAAGTGAATACGACAGAGTTGTAGGAGCTTGAGCTGTGGGGAGGGAAGTAGAGGCCATGTTATACCTAGGGCTCATAGCTTGGAATTTTACTTTTTATTCTGAGATAGAAATCTGTTGGAAGTTGATTTGGAACAGGCAACTGAATGTGAGGAACTCAGGTTGAGTTGGTCTGAGATGAATGAATAGCAGGCTGAATCAGTCTTGTGTTGAGAACAATTTGGCAGGAAGATAACACTCTGTGTTCTCATGAATTCAGTAATAAAGGAACAAAAGAAATGAGGAAAAGAAAGTGAATCTATGTGTGTGGTAATAATTTTCAAAGTATGTGTATATTAGAGTTAAATATTAATAATTTAATAATAAGGCAATTTTATATAAAATTAGTAACAAAAAATATTTTATCAGGTGATCTAAGGCAACTTCAAGAACAACTGGTCACCTTAAAAATTTCGTATGTCAGAGTCTCTACTGGAAGATACATCACATTGTCATCTTAATTTGGATGAGACACGGGCTTCAAAGAAGAAATTATTTCAAGTAGGAAGTCAAGTATGTAAGGGAATTTAACATGTCTATAGTTTAGCTGGTTGAATAATATAAACTGTTTTAGGATACTACTAGTGGACAGATTGATTTTGTATTTTCATTATAATTAATTATTACCATTTTACTACCTTTATAATGTACTAATTCCTAAACTCTGGGCTTTTATTCTGCCATTTTGAAAATAATTGCATACCTCTTATAATATTTTCTCTTGGGAAAGTTAAGAATTATACATCATTCCTCACAGAAAATTGACTTTTTTCCTGTTAAACAGTATTTTTAGATAATTTCCTTATTGCCTTGGTGAGGCAAGCTGATTAAGTCAGAGGAGAATGTTTGATACTGGAATGTTCCAGAAAGTTTTCTTATTTCTCTTCACTTTTGTGAATGGACACAGAAGTTCCTATTCGTTTCCAGGTCTCCAGGTTAACTTGTACAGAAAAGCTATCATACTGTTCTTTAAATGTATATATGGAGAGCATTTTATAAACTACGAAAAGTTAGGCATTGCCTTCATCTCCCTTCTACTAAAATATACTGTTGCAATGGCATAGAAATATTCAGATCTGAGTAGAGTATGTACATCCAAAATAGAGAGTTGAGAAAATTATCTTGATCCTACCATTGGATTTTAAAAACAGTTTTACTGAGAGATAATTCACATGTCAGATTGTTCAGCCATCTAAAATGTACAACTCAGTGTCTGTTAGTATATTCACAGCATTGTGTAACCATCACCACATTCAATGCTAGAATATTTTCACCACTCTGAAAAGCAACCCCACATCTCTTAGCTATGATGGCAGTCCTTCTCCATGCCCACCTACCCCAGTTGCAGGCAACCACCATCTGCTTTTGTCTCCATAGATGTGTGTGGTCTGCATATTTTATATAAATAGAGTCATACAATGTGAAGTCCTTTCTGACTGGCTCTTTCACTTAGCATAATGTTTTCAGAATTTTATCCATGTTGTAGCCCATATCAATAGTTTATTTCTTCTTATTGTCAACAATAGTCTATTTCATGACTACACCAGTTTTCCATTCATCATCAGCTGATGGACCTTTAGGTTGTTTCCACTTTTTGGCTATTATGAAAACAGCTGCTGTGAACATTCATTTACAGGTTATTATATGGACATATGTTTTTAACTCCCTGCCATTGTACTTTATCCTCAGAGTTCCGGGCAGATTGGGTGGCACTGTGCACCGTTTTACCCGCTGCCCTTCCTGCCTCTCAGTTCCTGCTCCTCTTAGCCTTTATCCATTCAGACCTTGGCAGGCAATCTTTCTTCATGAAGCCTTCCCTGACTGTTCCGACTCTCACTGACCTTATGACTCAGCACTTGTTGCCCAGTCTGCAGAAAATAACGTGAGTTTTAATTTCATATGGCTTTAATTTAATGAAGATAATTTTGTCTCATCATAAGTTTGCTTAAAGGGAAAATAATATATGACATACATGTCACCTATCCTTGTATAAATTAAAAACATTTTAGCTTGGAGTGAGCTTTTAGCATAGAACAAAAATACTCTTTATACTATGCAAATTATTTCTTGTTTTTCTTTTTCTTTTTTTTTTTTTTTTTTTTGAGACGGAGTCTCGCTCTGTCACCCAGGCTGGAGTGCAGTGACCGGATAGCAGCTCACTGCAAGCTCCGCCTCCCGGGTTTACGCGATTCTCCTGCCTCAGCCTCCCGAGTAGCTGGGACCACAGGCTCCCGCCACCTCGCCTGGGCTCAGTTTTTTGTATTTTTTAGCAGAGACGTACCACCGTGCAGGCCAGGATGGTCTCGATCTCCTGACCTCGGTGATCCGCCCGTCTCGGCCTCCCAAAGTGCTGGGATTACAGGTATTAGCCACCGCGCCCGGCCGCAAATTATTTCTTATTTGAGCATTGACACAGTAAATCTTTCTTCTAAGTGTACTTTTTAGCACTTAAATATGAAATTAAAAATAATTAGTCTAATAGAGGAGAATTGTTCAATCAAATGCTCATGTTTTTCTCAGTATGAAAAGAATTCAAATTTGCCTTCCTTCACTATATAGCCAGAACTGTATTTCTGGATGGCTGCCAGTTTGTCAGCTGAACAGTTCTGGCTGCAGCTTGTCTTATGAATGACAGTCCAGGGTTTTCAGCTCCATGGCTCAGCGTGTTCCCTGCTGGTCTTGTCGGGTTATGTACTACCTACTCAATCCAGGAGGTGCTGTTTACATTGTAGTACATACCTGACTGCTGCTTCACTGAGTCATACAGAGAGAAAAGTGTTACACCATAATGCTCCTCCCCATTTGCTGCCATTTCTCAGTAGTGTGAGCTATAGACCATTTCCATTGGAATGCCACCTGCCTAACACAGTTGTCAAGATATAAAAAACAGTAAACATTATGCCAATAGCAAATATTATCTGTAGCTCACTATGTACCATGTACTCTTCTACGTGCTTCTAAGCAAATTTTATCTGTAGCTCTCTATGCACCATGTACTTTTCTAAGTGCTTCAGCAGTCCCTGGTTTAATCTTCCCAATATCCCAGTGAAGTAGATGGTATTATTCATCATAGATAAAGAACCAGAGATATAGAAATTTACAGTATCACAGAGCTGAATCTG